CCCCCTACTACCCCAGATCCTCCACTGACTGCTGGTATGTTCAATATTATGCAAAAAACTAACAAAGAAAAACAGTTGTGAAATGTAAACACATAGGCCTATGTTTGTACTGCTATCACTCATGTAAAACCTACAATAAGGTATTTCTCTGTTTAAATTAATAGTTAATTAATTTTTTAATAATAGTAGACAATAATACTGTAATTTTTTTTGATAGATAAGAAAGTCAGAGAGAGCATACATTTACATTTTAAAGTTCTTTTTTCTATATTTTCATCTGGCAAAGTTTTTGAATACATCATCAAAGTTAATTTTGCGCAACTAGTCTGCCTCAATCATCAGCAAAGATAAGGAATCAGGCCTTTCTTATTTCATTGTCGATCTACTTGGATTTTTTGTAAGTTTCAACTGAGAAAAAGAGCGCTCAGTTGAACAGTTCGTAACCATTAATGTTAAAAATATGCGCAAGGCATTTCTACATTTGGAAAAGAACACTCGATGTTGTCTCTAACTATTACTTTGTAGAGTTCTGCATGACTGAACGTGTTGTTCTCAGATTTTGATGCAGGAAACTTGTGGCGAATATGTGAGGGGAACTGTTGTAGTTCAGTTTATAAATTATTGTTCTGATCTTCAGGATAAGCATTTATTAGTCTTTCACAACACTGAGATGTTTGTGGTACATCGACCAAACAAGAAAATAGGAGCCAGAATGATCAATTCATTGATCGTGGGCCCTCAAAATAAAGAAGAAGAATTAATCGAACTGCTAGATCATTATATTATATACCTGTCCTTGTCTATTCATCTCTGTCTCAAGTTTGTCAACAGTGGTGTAGAAAGCAGATATACGAAATTTCTCTCTGGCATTCTGAGATACCTCAGGGGCATCACCATCAATGGCCACTGTCTTTCGTTTACAATTACGGGTCAAAGTTGACTTATAATACACAACTGGTGTTATTTCTTTTGCGGTTTCTTCAAATCTTTCAAATTCATTCCCAGATTCATGCAAGTGATCTGCTAGTGAAGAATACAAATCAGCACACGTTTTCAAGTTCACGTGCTCATTATGTAGAGCTTGACTGCCCCTATTCAGAATTGTTTTCACTAGCAGACCAAAACGGGAGTGAATTTGTCGCTACGCTTTAGTGCATTACGTAGCACAAATATATCCCAGAAAAGTAAAAAAAAATAGCACCAAAAAAACTTGAAGGAAAATGTTAAAAAATAGAAAAAAATACTGGGTGGGGCGTACTTTACCCCCGGGTTGTGGGGCCAAGGTTAAATAATGTGCGATTCAATATTACATTTGCGATTTGCTTATGCCATGCAATTACGCTACCGGGACAATATACACATTTTTCTTGATGACTTGTGGTGCCCCCCAAATGCTTGGTTCCCCTAGGCACGTGCCTTGTTTGCCTAATGGTTAATCCAGCCCTCACTGTAGACTACTTTATAGTACTGCAGGTAAATGTTACACGCAAACGACGTCACACTTCGTCCAATGAAAATTAACAATAAAATAAACAAAGGGGAATGACTTCTGCACAAATATTGAATAAACACGCAAATGACGTCAAGGGCCCGGATCTCAACAACAGCCCTACTGGGTATAGATTAATGTAGACCATTGTAGAGAAAGCATCAAAGATGATATTACAGTATTAAGCACAGATGCGTCAATTTTTATTTATTTATTTATTTAGGCATTTTTATATAGCGCTTATCATAAAGCTCTAAGCGCTTTACAATTATTAAAACATGTAAACTAAGTAAATACAAATGAGACACTAGGATAGTAACTACTATTCTATAGAAACAATGAAAATGGCTATAAAACGAGGACACTTTGACACTTCAGGATCAACCCGAAACAGAAAATGAGGTAGGACAAGGAGGGTGCATCACAGGTCATAGGCGGACCTAAACAGATGAGTTTTAAGGGACTTTTTGAAAATGGACGAGGTTTCACTATGACGTATATGGAAGGGGAGCTGGTTCCAGAACGTGGGCCCATGTGTTTTAAGGGACTTTTTGAAAATGGACGAGGTTTCACTATGACGTATATGGAAGGGGAGCTGGTTCCAGAACGTGGGCCCATGGAAGCAGAAGGAGCGTTCACCGATGGTCTTAGTTTTAGTTCTTGTGATTGAGAGGGTTCTACTGTCAATGGAAGAACGTAGTTGTCTTGTGGGGATGTAAGGAAGCAACAGTTCATGCAATATATGAGACATTTATAAATCGCTTAAGTCTCTTAATTATATGTTGCTTGTGGTGTGACTGCTTCCAGTTCCAGGTAGCGCTCAAAATGTAATTCCAGATAACTACGCTAAACATTTTTTTTTTAAATAGCACAACTGAATTTGGTGTCTAATATTTTCATTTCTTTTGCCTAACATGACGATTTCTCAATTTAAAAAAAAAAGATGTAGTAAATTGCGGTTTAAAAAGTGGTTTGTGATATCAGAATATTAATGTAGTGCATTGGCGTGAAATAAAAAGTGTGCAGTGACGTATCGTGGGGAAAATGAGTGTAGCAAAAATTAGGATTCTTACATGTGCGTTACTTGAGATTTGAGTTGATGTTTTCCCTATAGATTAGATTTTCTACAGGAATTGAAGGTCATAGATTGATCATCAAACCAAGTGATGTAGCTAGGGTTGGTGTGTCCCGGTGCGGTAAATTCATGGTGTCATCTCCCCCCACCCCCCAACCCCCCCCCCCCCCCACTTCCACGATGGATTTCTCCTTGTTAAAATAAGCCCACACTATAACAATGATAAGAAACAAAGAAATAATTGAAGTTCAGGAGGTCAAAGGTCAATGTAGTTTAGAACTGTAACAGCATTACGTTATCGTTATTTTTACATTAAATTTTGAAAGTGCCTTTTCAATAGCATGTTCCACCAAGTTACAGCGCTTCTCGTGGAGAGACAATCTTGAGGCCTCTAGGGTAGTCACCCCTACGCCAAGAGTAAGGCGCTTGGTCTGCGGATACTGCTGTATAAGATTAACTTCCTCAAGTAGATGAGCCTAAATGGAAATGTAGGAGATAAACGTGAACTCACAGACAGCATGTGAGAGACCTTGTGCTGTATCACAATAGTTCTCAAACGTTAAGGTGCGGTGCTAGTGGCGAATCTGCGAAAATATTTAATTTTGAGCATTTCTTAGTTTTAATATATTTTGATAAAAAAACAACAATTTTTTACATTTAAAGAAAAGATATTAGAAAATGTTGTAAAATATTATTTTGTTAACTGTATAAATGGGTAAAGTGTAATTTTTGAAAGTGTTTAATTTATACCGATTCGATTCATGTACTAAGAATCTCTCGACCACATCGTATTTGGTATCAATGGAAAGCTTTATTTCTAGGAATTGAGTTAAATATAGCTTCCTTCCTGTCACTTACGAACGTTACCGAACACTTCAATCATGATCAGAACGATGTTTTAATGACCTAATTATAGGGTCACCCCATTTATGAGGCATCAAAAGTGAACTTTTAATAAAGCACGCATGTGGATTGGTTACTTGTGTGGAAAATGTGCACGTGCTCGGTGATACATTGATGAAATTCGATTAGACAGAGCAGGTTTTTCTCTGTGAATAAGAAATGTTTCAATTTGGTGTCATCCCTGAGACCGTGTCCGAAATACCATTGAAACACAATAGTTTTGGCCTGAATTAATATATGTAGACTTATGTCCTACTTTAACCATTTTAAACCAATTTTAGTGGGACAACAAAATTTCTTTACATGTGCGAGTGATTGTTGCAGAGGGCTCCCCCAGGCATAACTAAAACGGTACTTCATGGAATTTGTCATAGCGACGTTGTTTATGGTGCTTGTTATAGGGGAAAATACAAAAAGAAGTCATTGAAGTTATTAAATGTAATCCCCAGGGAGATATCGGGGGATGTGAAGGCTCATTGAAATGATTGTTTAGTTTTTGTACAGTTGTACAGCAGAAACATTGTGACGCCTGTTTGAACATGAGTCATGTCTGTCACGTGTGTCATGTGTGTCGCGTGTGCCACGGTCGGTTGAAAGTTCAACAAGGTTAAAAAAAAGAAAAAAAATCTGTGCGATAGACATGAAATATTGTGCAAATCGAGCTCCTCTGGCAAGGCTCTGGTAAGTGACTCCCCAGGCGCGTGCCATGGGATCGAGTCCTGGTGACTGGTGTTTTTCTGACCTATTTAAAGGTTCATCTCATTTTTAATGCACCGTCCTTGAATTCTAAATAAGGCGTTCACTTGGACTGGTTATACATGTGAATAATGTAAGTGGTTATACATGTGAACAATGTAAGTGGTTATACATGTGAAAAATGTAAGTGTAATCGGTTTCCTTACAATGAAATTCAATGAGAACGAGGAGCTTGTGCTCCGTAAATATGCATTTTTTTTTTACATTTGGTGTCACCCCCTAGGATGGTGTCATCCGGTGCGGTCGGCACCCCCTGCACTCCCCTTGCTACGCCACTGATCAAACGAACACAAGTGTTCTTTAAAAAAACCCAGCAGTTGACTCATCGTGAATAAATACAGCTCATAAGTGGAGTCATAACAAATCTCAGGAAGATTAAAATAAGGAACACAATAAATGAAAGTGAAAGGAAGAATAAAATCTGGCGCTATTAGTCATGTTAATAACGTAATTACCCCCCCCCCACCCCACAAAAAAAAAAAAAAAAAAACCCAAAAAAAACCAAAAAAAAACCCGAATAAGTTCACATGTTGGATGAAAGCTTCACGATTTAAAGAAATTCCCTGTCGTTTTTGCTCCGTTTCTAATGTAAGTTCTATCATATCGACACATTATTTTACAATAGTCTCACAGATTTATTTTAAGTAATTCTTAGTTCTTCTAGACGCGGCGAAGATAAGAGTTCACGCCAAAAAAGATTCAAGTAAGATTTTTTTTTAGTTTATGGACTTGGAATAAATAGATTTGATACAGATAAATCTGATATCAAACCAACATCAAGAATGTGTGGCAACAATTCTTTTGGAAACTACTCTGACGGTTTCAATTATTCGGACAGAATTCAACATTTAGATGCCCTACAGAGGGAGACAAACATCATTATGATTCCGTCCATAGTCTTTCTGTGTCTGATATCCACGACAGGAGTTATTGGGAATTCCCTGGTTCTAGTTGTGTACTCTTGTAGATTCTCAAGGTCAGCTGTCCGAACATTCATGAAGGCGGTTGCAGTTTTAGATCTACTGATAAATACACTGGTAATTCCAGGTAAAACTTAAAATAATTTTCAAATGATGATGACAATGTTTAAATTTAGAAAAAAATTACTTACCCCAAGGCTGACACTTGTTTCAATAAATTGTTTCGTTTACTTTATAATGAAGTTCATTTAACTTTTTTTTTTTAAATTTGTAGAAGTTGCTATGTGTAACAGCTGCTAGACCAATGAATTAAAGAATGAATGTTTTAAAATATATAATTTTAAAATTTTCACATTTGTCTTAAATAACAATACATAAAAATAGTCGTTAAAAGCAATTAAAAAATGTATTTGCATTTCAGCTGAAATCTACGACATGTTTCATGCCTGGGACTTTGACCAGCCATTGGTGTGTAGAGTTCGTCGATTTTTCAACGCCCAGACAACATCGGCTTCTGGATTTTTACTCGTGGCCATAGCTGTGACCAGGTCAGTAAATTAAAAGCAATTGAAAACCATATACCTGTGATGACAGTCCACGATTGTTTGATACATTTAACTACCACAGATGCTCTTCAAACCAGTTACCAAAGTTTCATCCATCCATCCACCCATGTGGCGATACAGCCCATCGTAGGACTTTGGCCTGCCTCACCACTTATTTCCACTCAGACCAAACTGATGCTTTTCTTTTCTTGCATTACCAGCTACTGTAGATCATTTTCCACATAATCCATCCATCTAAGCCTAGGTCTGCTATTGAGTCGTTTTTCTCTGGGTTTTTGTGGTGCACCCTCTTCACTCTTCTGTCATTTTGGTATTTTTTCTAAATGTTCAGCCCAGCGTAGCCTACCCTTTTTTGAAATTTCTGCTACTAGCGTGGGATCCTCATATAGGCTATACAATTCCCGGCTGGTTCGTATTCTCCATACGTATTCATACAAGTAAGCTTCATCTAGAATTTAAAATTTTTGAGACAGCTTTTCTAAACATTTAATCTAAATGAACATGCCAATCTCCCTACCTTGCAGGTACCGGAAGATTTGTCGACCCTTTGACAGACAAGTGAACATCACAGAGGCTAAACGTATCTGTGGTGTGACAGTTTTAGTGTCCTCTGTGGTCTCTATCCCTTACGGCATCATCAACGGACGAAAGACGAGGAAGTCAAGCGTCCCCGGTATAAATGGCTGCTACTGTTCTGTGGACGACAGTTACGACGGCACCAAGTGGCCAGTGGTCAACTCTTCATTTTTCGTCCTTGTTTTTCTAACGTGCTGCACCACACTTTTCGTCTTGTATGCACTGATTAGTAAAAGTGCTCGGAGACAAGCAAAGGGCAGGAGGTGTACTTTCAGACTGAAGACGTTGGGCGTCACTGAAAATGTGGCAAAACCTTTTGAAGGCGTTCTCACATCAAGAATGTTCGCCCCAACCGAAGTTACTGTGGAAAATAAACAACAGGTGAAGGGGGACGTTTCGGGTTTAGGATACCACGCACCTTTGCAACAAAAGAATTTTCTAATGAACGTTGACAAAAATCAGTCCGATGAACCCATCTTATTGATGGATGAAAAAAGGATAAATTTAGGTCAGATCGTGTCAGAAAGGGACAAAGACCCGAAAAATGGCAAATACAACGAAGAAAATTCTTCAAAAAAATATCCAAGGAATTCAAATGATCATCAGAACAAAAATGGAGACAGCACCTTTGAAATCTTGGCGTGTCGTCTTTTGCGCGATGCGCAGGAAATGACATGTGCAGTAACAAAGCAAGACAAAGGTTCAATTAGTGTGGGGGTGGTTGGAGAATCCACCAGCTGGAATGTCGGCACGCACCCACACTCAGCGGTCGCAAAGACAAATGACACGCCCAGTGATGACGTCGAAATATGTGGTGCGGTAACCGATTTTGACATGTCCAGTGAAGAATCGCCAGAAGCCGACGAGGAGGAACCCACTCCACAACAACAACAACAATCCAAAGCTAAGGATGCAAAATTGCGCCCGAGTCCTTGCGGAGTGCGTCCACGTTCATCTACACAGCGTGCTGTCTCGGCAAGGTCTAGGGCAAGACAAAAGGGAAGGCGGGTAGATGCCACGACCTGGATGCTACTGACCTTAAGCATCGTGTTCGTCGGTGGATTTCTTCCGTTTCTAAGCCTGGAGTTCTTCCGGTCTGCCGCCCCGGATAGCGTTGCGTCCATGAGCGCCGTCTGCCAGTCACTTTACCATCTTTTTCGGAGATCTTATTTTCTGAACAGCGCCATCAACCCCATCATTTACAGCCTATGCGACTTGTCTTTTAGGAGGGAATTCTGGAAAATTTGTAAGGGCCGGTAGAATAGCTGTGCAACTCACCTGAATTATAAACCTTCCCGTCTGGTAATCTAACTTTGCTACAAAAGATAACTATAGACATCTAAAGAGACTATATAACATTAAGACTTCTAACTGCGTCACTCCTTTTCTATTTTAATTTGTATATATTTGCAGCGATTTGTGTGATTCATTGGTCAAAAGCTCCCCCAAGAGATTTGAATTAAATTTCAACGATGGATATTACATGTTTTTTTGTTGTTGTAATCATCTCAACGTGTCTCTGTTAAAACTTTTATACTATATACACACATTACTCCCTTTTCATATTCGACATGTCTTAAGAGTGATTTGAATTATTTTAAAGTTTCAGATGTTCTGAGGTTTTTATTTGACGTATGTATTTATTCAATATTTGATACTACGGGACTTTATGAATACAACTAATAAAAATAAACGTTAAACTTACGTATATACAATAATTCAAAACATTTGTTCTTCTTTGTTTAACTATTGCCCTTGAAAGCATTAAACAACTGCCTAAGCCTTATGGTAATGAGGAGTCATATTTTGCAGTTATGTTTAAATAGAGGGTTTTTTGTTTTTTTTTGTTTTTTTTATTTTGTGTAAAATAAACTTCTGTATCAAAAAGGAGTTAAATTTCTTGGATTCCTACATATAATTTTTAGATACGTTAATTTCTTTAAAAAATGTTGTCTAATTCCGTTCAGTATGTAAAAGTGCGAAATTTGGGCTCCTGATATTTGATGTCTGGCCGACGTAAATACTTTTTGAACATTTAGGTGATGTCTGGCCGAGGTAAATACTTCTTGAAGATTTAGGTTATGTCTGGTTGAGTTAAATATGTTTTGAACATTTAGGTGATGTCTGACCGAGGTAAATATGTTGTAAAAAATTTAAGTGATGTCTGGCCGAGGTAAATACGTTTTGAACATTTAGGTGATGTCTGGTCGAGGTAAATACGTTGTAAAAATTTAGGTGATGTCTGGCCGAGGTAATTACGTTGTAAAAATGTAGGTGATGTCTGGCCGAGGTAAATACGTTGTAAAAATGTAAGTGATGTCTGGCCGAGGTAAATACTTTTTTAACATTTAGGTGATGTCTGGCCGAGGTAAATACGTTTTGAACATTAAGGTGATGTCTGGCCGAGGTAAATACTTTTTTAACATTTAGGTGATGTCTGGCCGAGGTAAATACGTTTTGAACATTAAGGTGATGTCTGGCCGAGGTAAATACTTTTTGAACATTTAGGTGATGTCTGGCCGAGGTAAATACTTTTTGAACATTTAGGTGATGTCTGGCCGAGGTAAATACTTTTTGAACATTTAGGTGATGTCTGGCCGAGGTAAATACTTTTTGAACATTTAGGTGATGTCTGGCCGAGGTAAATACTTTTTGAACATTTAGGTGATGTCTGGCCGAGGTAAATACTTTTTGAACATTTAGGTGATGTCTGGCCGAGGTAAATACTTTTTGAACATTTAGGTGATGTCTGGCCGAGGTAAATACTTTTTGAACATTTAGGTGATGTCTGGCCGAGGTAAATACTTTTTGAACATTTAGGTGATGTCTGGCCGAGGTAAATACTTTTTGAACATTTAGGTGATGTCTGGCCGAGGTAAATACTTTTTGAACATTTAGGTGATGTCTGGCCGAGGTAAATACTTTTTGAACATTTAGGTGATGTCTGGCCGAGGTAAATACTTTTTGAACATGTAGGTGATGTCTGGCCGAGGTAAATACTTTT